CCTCCTTCCTTCCTTCCTTCCTTCCTTCCTTCCTTCCTTCCTTCCTTCCTTCCTTCCACCCACCCACCCACGTTTGGTAAATAACAAAAGTCCAGATATTTTTAATACATCTTTATTGCCAACATCTATACTGAAATGATACATTGAATGATACATTGAATGATACATTGACGGTTTAGAGCAGGGAAGGTAACAGCCACTCTCTTCTTTAATGGCACACTTTGTATGCTGTTGGTCCAGAGCTGGACATAAACAGACTGTAGGTCTGCTGCAAGTATTTTGATGGAGAATCATCTGAAACACACACACAGCATGTATTACTAAACTGTATTTAATCAACATATACTTTTACGCTGGGCTCCCACTATATATAGCAGATTAGTATTAGCTTACCCTCACACGTCGTCTAGCTCGCATCTTTATGGCTTCCCACACCTGTACTTGGCCAGAGTCTTTTGCCTTGCTGCCCGCAGCCTTTTCTGAGTCTCTTCTCTTTGGCGTTTGACAAAAAGCCACAGACTGAGCAGAATGTTCAACAAAGCTACAAGATCCTCCATTTTTGCTGTGTATCGTTTCAGGGTCTTCTTCTAATATGTTTAGTGGTGGCTAGTAAATAACTTAATAGAGCACTATCGCCACCAGCTGGTCAGGCGAGTTTGATTCTGGACCCGCCTACAGAACCGGTCCTGAAGTGCATATGGAAAAGCAACATGGACCGAGCTGAGCTGAACCGAGTCGAACCGTGCTGAAGAGGGGATATGGAAAAGGGGTTTAAGCCTATTGCAGCATAACTAAGGGACAGCTCAGGAAACCCAAGCTGACCCTAACTATAGGATTTATCAAAAAGGAAAGACTTAAGCCTAATCTCAAAAGTAGACTAGGTGTCAGCCTCAAGGACAGGCTGGTTCCACAAGAGAGGAGCCTGATAACTGAAAGCTCTGCCTCCCATTCTGCTTTTGGAAACTCTAGGAACTACAAGAACTCACCATACAGGCCTGCCTGGCCCCAGTGTGGTTCGGGTCTCGGTCCAGAACCTTCTTGTAGTCCTCCATAGCTTCATCTAACTTCTCAGTCTGCTCGTAAATCTCTGCCCTCCTCAGCAACGCCCGCAAGTAGTCTGGATCCAATTCTATCGCTATGGTAACCAGAGTCAATCAGTGTTACTGATCAATAAACTGGTGAGGTGATAATGTCATGACTCACCTCTGCTGCAGTCTGAGATGGCCTCATCCTTCTGCTCCTGTAACAACACACAGTTAGCACTCTGCTAATAAACCCATTAACACACCTCCAAAAAGAACAGTTAGTACTTAACTTATAAAACTGTTAGCACAAGGCTAAAGCCCCCAGTATACTCCCGCGTACGTCCGTTCACAAGTACGTACGTGTGTACTGTACGCAGAGGGTTCAGACTTCGTACTCGAGCGTACACCCTGAGTAGCTACAGAGCAGCTTCACAGACAAGGGGCGTTTACCTTCGGGACAAATTGAGGTCGCCGATTGGTCATTTGCTGACACGCCTACTGGATTGATTGACAGGTCAGAAAAAAGAAACGAGCGCTGGCAGCCTCAGCGGTGTTCTGTGTTTATATGTTGTTAATAAAAAGATCTAAAAAATAAAAAACCAACAGGGAGCGCTGGCTCTGCAGCACACACATCATAGAGGAAGCCGAGTTGGGGGACTTGGGGGTTGATCCGTCCATAACCATGGCTGAGGTTGCCGAGGTAGTTAAAAAGCTCAGAGACGGCAGGGCTCTGGGACTGGATGAGAGTCACCCTTTTTCCTTAAGGCTCTGGATGTTGTGGGGCTGTCTTGGCTGACAAGCCTTTGTAACGTCGTGTGGACATCGGGGCAGTGCCACTGGACTGACAGACTAGGGTGGTGGTTCCCCTCTTCAAAAAGGGGAACTGGAGGGTGTGCTCCAATTATAGGGGCATCACTCTCCTTAGCCTCCCTGGTAAGGTCTATTCAGGGGTACTGGAGAAGCGAGTCTGATCGTTGGTCGAACCTCAGATCAAGGAGGAACAATGTGGGTTCCGTCCTGGCCGTGGAACACTGGATCAGCTCTTTACCCTCACTAGGGTCCTTGAGAGATCATGGGAGTTTGCCTATCCAGTCTACATGTGTTTTGTGGACTTGGAGAAGGCATTTGACCGTGTTCCTCGGGGTAAACTGTGGGGGGTGCTCCGTGAGTATGGGATTGGAGGCCCGTTGTTATGGGCTGTTCAGTCCCTATACAAGCGGTGCGAGAGTTCAGTTCATATTGCCGGCAGTAAGTCGGACCCCTTCAGGGTGTGAGTTGGACTCCGCCAGGGCTATCCGTTGTCACCAATTCTGTTCATAACTTTTATGGACAGAATTTCTCGGTGCAGCCAGCCGGCAGAGGGTTTCCGGTTCAGTGGCCTCAGGATTCCATCTCTGCTCTTTGCAGATGATGTGGTCCTGTTGGTGTCATTGTGCCATGATCTTCAGCTCTCACTGGAGCGGTTCGCAGCAGAGTGTGAAGCGGCTGTGATGAGAATCAGCACCTCCAAATCTGAGGCCATGGTCCTCAACCGGAAAAGGGTGGATTGATCTCTTCAGGTCGAGGGTGAGGTTCTGCCTCAAGTGGAGGAGTTCAAGTATCTCGAGGTTTTGTTCACGAGTGAGGGAAGAATGGAGTGTGAGATTGACAGACTGATTGGTGCAGCATCTGCAGTATTGCGGACCGTGTACCGGTCTGTTGTGGTGAAGAGAGAGCTGAGCTGTAAGGCAAAGCTCTCTGTTTACTGGTCGGTCTACGTTCCTACCCTCACCTATGGTCATGAGCTCTGGGTAGTGACCGAAAGAATGAGATCGCGGATACAGGCAGTTGAAATGAGTTTTCTCCGCAGGGTATCTGGACTCTCCCTTAAAGATAGGGTGAGATGTTCAGTTATTCGGGAGAGACTCGGAGTAGAACCGCTACTCCTCCACGTCGAGAGGAGCCAGTTGAGGTGGTTCAGGCATCTGGTAAGGATGCCTCCCGGGCGCCTCCCTAGAGAGGTGCTTCGGGCATGTCAAACTGGGAGGAGACCCCGGGAAAGACCCAGGACACGCTAGAGAGACTATGTCTCTCGGTTGGCCTGGGAACGCCTTGGAATCCTCCCAGAAGAGCTGGAAGAGGTGGCTGTAGAAAGAGATGTCCGGGCCTCCCTGCTCAAGCTGCTGCCACCGTGACCCGACATCGGAGTAAGCGGAAGATAATGGATGGATAATGTCCCAGTGGCTTTTAAACCCCAAAATACATTAAAGACTGGTTCATCCCAAAGATCCAGTCCCCCGGCACAAACAGAGTAATATTGTGTATGCTGTTCACTGTCAGGAGGGTGATCAGTCTTACATCGGGGAAACTAAACAGCCATTGGCCAAAAGGATGGACCAGCACAGAAGATCAACATCATCAGGCCAGGACTCTGCGGTCTACACTTATCTCCAGGCCAGCGGTCACTCTTTCAGGGATGAAGATGTTCACATCCTTGATAGAGAGGAACAATGAGTTTGAGAGAGGAGTAAAGGAGGCCATCTTTGTTAAAAGAAGCCGTCCATCATTAAACAGGAGCGGAGCCTCCGTGTTCAACTGTCCCCCTCTTACAATGCTGCGATTGCTAGTATCACTCAGCCCCCTGTGAATAGCAAACAGCCATCAGGGTGCTAATGATCCATCGTTAGGCTGATGGTCCTCCTTGATCATGTGAGCAGCTGGTTTTGGTTGTCAGCAGCAAATTGGTTGATCCACCATGAGATGGTGCTATTTATAAGACTGAGCTGAATACAGCACCTCAGACTCAAGAAGTCTTTCGGATGAGAGACGAAACGTTTCAACAATTTATTTGTTTTGTTTTTCTGAATGTCCAGGGGACCAGATTTAACTTTTTTAGCTAAAATAAAATGATTGCTCCTCATCCTGCGCACGTCATTTGTGCAGTTTTTCACGGGGACAAAGAGCACGTGTCAGCACGGAAACACTGGGATTGTCACAGTTCTTTATCAGTCGGGCTGGTTTGCGGACACTGCTAGTTCCCTGCATGGTAGCCAGAGCTTGAGATGTGTATGACTGTATCCTTCAATGTGTTCCAAGTCTATTTACTTTCCGGAGCCGTCGTCTCCGTTTGGGTTGACATGGACAAAAGCATTAGAGGTGGTCTTTACTCATGCGGTCTGCCATGTTGTTCACCTAACATCCGGGACTTTCTCACAAAACTCATGAGGTCATCCCTGACAAACGCCATTTTAATAAAGGTCTGTTGTGCATTAGGTTAGCATGACGTTACCAGGTGCAGTCTTGCAGCAGCTCTGTTGGAGAAGAGCACAGCTCTTTCTCGGCTGAAACTGATGGGACATAAAGCTAAAGCCTCGGTGTACTTTAGCGCTGCCTCGCTCCAGTCTGCAGGAACACAAACAGATGAAGATAAGATAATGTAAGACAAGATAGAACTTTATTGATCCTGCAAGAAATTGTTGTGCCAGTTTCAGTACAAAGGAACATACACAAGGGCTCACACAAGATATAAAAAATACCAGAGAATATAAAAATACCTATGAAAAGTGGTCAACTGTTGGGTTCTGTTTGGTTTCAGGGCTGCAGTGGATGGAAGTCCACTGCAGGGCTTCAGTCAGATCCAGTCAGTCCAGAAAGGATTTTATTTACAAATTTATTTATAAATGACAACTAACGCAGCTTTGAAAACTTCTTTGAACTGGTCTAAACTATTTTCACTTGATTCTGAACTGATATAAAAAAAATTGAATTTGTTTACTAAATGTCCTGATGCTGCTCATTAATCCAGGTAGGAAAATGTAACAAAGTCAGGTCCTCTGGAAAAAAAAAAAAAAAAAAAAAAAAAGTCAGGTCCTCTGGACGGATTAAAATAAAAAAATAAATAAAAACTTGTTGAAACAGTTAATCTTTTATCCACATGACTTCTTCAGTCTAAGGAGCTGCAATAAACTCAGCCTTATAAATAGCACCTTCTCATGGTGGATCAACCAGTTTGTTGTTGACATCCAGAACTGGCTGGTCACATGATGAAAGAGGACCATCAGCCTAACAATGGATCGTTAGTGCTCTGATGGCCGCTTGCTATTCACAGGGGGCTGAGTGATTCTAGCAATAAATGGTAAATGGACTGTATTTGTATAGCACTTTTCTATCTTATGAAGACACATGTCACATGCCGAAATGTCCCTGGGCAAGACACTGAACCCCTCATTGCCTCCGATGTGTGTCCCATTGGTGTATGAATGTGATAAAGCTCTGATTATTCTTTGTACAGATAGAGTACTGTATGAATGAGTAAATGAGGCACAGACTGTCACGTAAAGAGCTTTGAGTGTCTTGATAAGATAGAAAGGCACTACATAAGTACAGTCTGATGAAGATGTGAAAGGTCACAGATGTTTTTCACTTATTAATGTCAAATGTAAATGAACCATGTGTGGTGTTAGAATGTTTTGTCTAGACAGAAGTGGAGCTGCAGGAGCATGGAGCTTTCACCTCAGAAAACTCAAAGAGGCTGCAAGAGTTGTCTGATCTCAACACTGACCGATAACCATTAAAAAGACACTCCTTTATGCTCTCGGTGACAAAGCTCTTGGAGACGAAGCGCCATGTAAACGTCTTGCCATCTTTTTCATTCATTCATTCAACCTTTATTTAGACAGGTAAATCCCATTGAGTCTCGATGACTCATTTACAAGAGAGACCTGATTTCAACAACGAATGATGACAACAATGGACAACAGCGACAACAATAGACAGTTACGAAACAACCAACTGAGTATTAATTTTTTTCCTGAAAGAAGAAGAAGCTGTCCTCCCACCAGGCGGACCGGTTCTGAACGAGGCTCGGCCCAGATGAACTGCAGGAGGACGTCGAAGAGAGATGTTGGATGAACCATTTATTTAAAATTCCCCTAATTTCTTTTATTCAATCCATTCAAGTTCAGTTAACGTGTTTTAATAGTGTGTTCAGTTTAATTATCAGTGTTTGTGTGACATACAGTTTGTGGTGTTGAATAAATAAATAAAAATTAAACCTGATGTCTTCATTTTCAACTTTAGTGTTCACGCTATATTTAGCATCATTTTAAATTTGAATTACATAATGTCCAGATAGCTTCATTTAGCTCAGAGCTTCATTATATCTCACACTAACATAAATACTGTTTATTATTATTAAACTGTTATTATTTAGCACATTTATGTTATAGTGCAGCGCGACGTGTGCGCGTGCCTCGTTCTATAAACAGCGACATTAGAACTGGATCAGATAGTGTCTCTTCTAACACGGATGTCGGTCCCAGCACCTGGAATCCGACGTAGATTAACTACGAAATTAATATATATTCCATCAGTCGTAGTTCAGAAAGCAGTGTGTCCGCCGCCATGTTGATAGAAATATAGCGTCTGACCACGCGTGCGTGTGCGCATGTGGTTTAACACAAAGTCTCAGCGAGAGATGTTTACATTATCAGCGGGGGGTCAGCGAAAAACCTCCACTATGGAAGGTGGGTTCAGAAAGTTCTGAATTCAAAGAGGGGGGCCACTGGTGTCATGTAAATGACCAGCAGAACCGCAGAGAGAAAGCTGCGGATGCACTCAAAATATGCGCCGTGTAAATGGACCCTAAGGGGAGGAGATACAAAGAAAACAGAAGGGGTCCAAGAATGGAGCCTTGCGGGACCCCGCAGGAAAGAGGCACTGAAGCAGATAGTGTTAGCAAAATTAACACAGAAACTCCTGTCGCTCAGGAATGAATGGAACCATTCTAACGTTGCACCAGTAATCCCAACCCAGTGTTCTAGCCGGGACAAAAGGATACTGTGGTCCACAGTATCAAATGCAGCGGTAAGTTCAAGGAGTACCAGGACTACAGACTGACCAGAGTCATTTGCCAGAAGAATGTCATTGCAGACCCTAACTAAGGCTGTTTCAGTGCTGTGTAGTTTCTTAAAGCCAGACTGAAAGATCTCAAGAATAGAATTTCCACTCAAGAACTCGTTTAATTGAGTGAAAACTATTTTCTCCAGGATCTTAGAAAGAAAGGGAAGTTTGGAGATGGGTCTGAAGTTTGAGCATATTGAAGGGTCAAGTCTGGTTTTTTTTTATTAAAGGAGTTACCACTGCATGTTTAAAAGCGTCAGGAACTACACCTGCAGCCATACTGCTGTTTATAATGTCAAGAAGAGAAGGTCCAATGGAGGTAGGACTTGTTTAAAAAATGATGCAGGGATGGGGTCATGGGGTCAGCAGGGGAACCTGAGGGTTTCATATGACCAATGACATCATTTAGAAATGAGAGGAAAATGGGTTCAAACTGGTTAAAGCCTGATGTGGAGGGGGCAAAGACAGAGGGGTCAGCTGTGGTGTGAGGAATCAGTTACCTGATCAACTCAACCTTTTTAACAAAGAAACAGGCAAAGTCGTCACACGTAACTGCAGAGACCTCCCTGTTGGCAGACTGAGGCACGGTTAAAATGGAGTTAATGGTGTTGAAAAGAACGCGGGGCTTGTGGCTGTTTGAGGCGATGATTTGGGATAATAAAAAAAAACTGATTTAACAGTGGCCTGATACTCTTTGCAACATGATTTTAGCATGATAAAAGAAACGGGAAGTTTGTCCTTCCATTTACGTTCGGCTTTCCTGCATTGACGTTTGGCTGCGCGAGTGATCTCATTCATCCAAGGGTGTGGAGTGCGCTTTGGATGCCTAATTTTTAATGGTGCAACTAGGTCAAGCACCTTAGTACAGATCTCTTGATGTACAGTGACTAGCTCATGGGTGTTCATGGAAGAGGATTCACAGACTGAGAGAGAGTTTTTAGGAAAAGCGGATGAAAAAGCGCAGCAGTGGAAGGGTTAAATATTCGACAAGGCCTGGCTGGAGGGGGAGGTGGTTTGGACTCGCTGACAAAAGAAGTGTTGAAAGAAATGGGTTTTTGGTCAGAGAAAATTGCATCCCCAATTTCTAACTCAGAAACAGATCAACCAAAGGTTAATACTAAATCTAGTGTGTGGCCATGCTGGTGAGTTGGTCCTGCAACATTCTGTACAAAGTTCAGAGACTGGATCAGATCTAGAAAGTCCTGAGTCAGCGGCTTTTCAGGGCAACAGACATGTATATTGAAATTTCCCAATATCAAAACCCGATCATATCTGAGCAGAATCCAAGTTAAAATGTCAGAGAGTTCAGCCATGAAGTCCTTATTATATTTGGGTGGCCTGTATAAAACAGCAGAAAAAACAGGATTTGAACAGCCCACCTCAAAACACAGCAGTTCGAAGCTCAAAAAAAATTAGCTGGTATCTGTACCAGTTTGCAGTTCCATCGTTTTTTGAAAATAGTTAATTATCCACCACCTTTGCCTGATGTTCTAGGAGCATTAAAATAAGAACAGTCTGGTGGTAAAATTTAAGACAGGGCCATGAACTCACCACAGGAGAACCACGTCTCAGTCACGCAGAAGAAGTCCAGACCGGTGGAAGAGAAAAAGTCCTTCAAGATGAACGTTTTATTAGCCAGAGACCTGGCGTTTATCAGTGCAATCCTTGTAGGAATCACAGCAGAAGTTGTCCATGAAGTTAAGACCAGCGGTCTCAGATTTGCGGAGTTCGACCCGCGACTCCAACGACCGGAAGCCCAGCCGCAGCAAACAGGTCTGCTGTGGAAGCGCGACCCGACCCGTGGGACTGGGAAAGACTCAGGTGGATCGGCGCAGTGCCAGGACAGGTGATTTAAGATGTGGTCCTCGGTTGAAGAGGAAGCCGCAACAGCAGCCCGGCAGGCTTTGATCATCACAAGACGGCCGGCCCGTTTTCCACGGCGCCTGGAGCGATGTCTTTGAGTGGGCAGGATACCACGGCGGAGGTAAACAGGAACGTCTTCAAGCAGAGGTGTGGGTCCAAGAGGGGGTCCAGAGTTATGATCATTATGATGAAACAAAGCGAGACTGGTGGCAGATAGTCGGAGATTTAGGAGTTGATGACGTTCATAAACCAGCAGTGGGTCGATGTTGTAGGTGAAAAATTACAAAAACACCCAAAAAAAAAAACCCACAATCACTGCAGACAGAGGTGGAGGGCAGGCCATGCACAGTGGCGCCTTCTTCCCATGCCAGTGCAACAACAAACTCGTTAAGAGTGAAAGCATTCTCCGGTAAAAATATCACAGTTTTAATATGAAATATGAAAGGCTGGTTGCATATATAATAATTGTTTTAGTTTTAGATTTAAGATATGATGTGTACAATTATGTTGTGTTAATTTTTAGGCCAAGAGTTGATTTTTCTCAGTTTATTTCTTCACACCAGGGGTGATTCTAGAAGCCCTTTTTAGGGGCCTTAGCCCCCCCAGTGTTGACAATGGCTCTTGGCTTGAACCACACTGTGGGTATTAGCATTAGAATTATTGTGGGGGGACATATTGGTGCGAGGTCTGTGGGTCCTCCCCCATAACTTTTTTAATAAAGTAGCAGCTATTTCCTGCATGCTGGTGTATTTTAACAGGTTTTAAAACATCTATGTTTACCTACATAAGTAAATACTTGATTCAATAACTGTTTTAGAAAACATGGCACAAGAAGTAGCACTAAGCTTTTTGTTTGTCTTTAATTTAATTTAATTTTTCTACCTAACACAGGAAGCTGTTAGCTCTGGAAGCAAACTGTTAAACAGCTTTGGACACAAAGACCCTTGTCCCACACTTCAACAGAGCAGGTAAGATACATAACATCTTGTAATCTCTGCCTGGTGAGGCTGATTAAATAATTATAAAATATGATAAGTGAAATAAAGAAAAATTGAGCTTCTGTAATTTATAATTGCAAATGTCACATTTTCTTGACTTAGTTTCAATTTTAAATCTCTTGTTTTTGATAAAATATTTATTTCCAAAAGAAAGACCAACAGATTGTAACTTGTAGTCACTGTGACACTATTTTGACTCGTGCACGTCTTCTGTCACTTTTAGGTTCCACAAGGCTCTGGACTGGTCCAGCTGTGGAGAGATGAGGTGGAACACCAGACCTGCAATGGTCCAGTCTGTAAATGAAGCTCTGAAGTCTGGGAAGATGCACGACATCATGCTTCACCCAAACGAGCTCGTTACCTCGACCACACAGACTGAACTTCTGGAGGACGTCGTCCAATGTATAATAATGCCTTTAAACATTTTTATTTATTGAGTTCTCTGCTTGGTACATTATTTTCTTTTTTTGTTTGTCTGTTTAAACAATTTAAAACATGACAGTGATGTCACTGTTTAAAGGAAACAACTGCTCAATAAATTAGTAAAATGCAACTTGTTCTGTTTGGGTTCTTTCATCTAAGGTAGACATGGTGTGACCCATGGACTGGTTTAGATTTTTTGTTTTTACTGGAACTGACCTTCAAAAGAGCCAGAAACAGACTCATCAGCTGATCCTCCGTAGAAACATTATATGGACTACAGGCCATGGATTGTTTGTTTTATGACATTTAGAGAAGGTTTTTGTTTGGATTAAGGAAATAAATGTCTCTATTTCACCACAGATGAACTGTTCCTGTTGCCATATCTTTTGAAATAAAACTGCACAACACAAAGTAATTTAAACAGGAATGGGTAGAAGATCAAATCAAATTCAATGTATTTCCTAAAAATTCAATGAAAAACAGGAGCAGGACAGGAGTGGGAGTGATTCTGAAAAGGAGCAGGAGTCATGTTACCAGGAGTGGGACAGGACAGGATTTTTTCTGTGGGACCAGGACAGGAGTGAAAATCCACTCCTGTGTCATCCTCTAGTCTGAACCTCATCTGTGTTCTTTGTTTAAACCAGGTCTCTCTGTAACTGGGGGAGTGGCGGCGCAGCGGTTAGAAGATGGGCCTGTGATCGCAAAGTCGCAGGTTCAACTCCCAGTACCGTCAACTTCAAAAATGTGGGTGGAATAGGTGGAACATCCACACCTGCCTCCACCCTCATTTGCCCCACCCTGGGCCCCTGAGCAAGGCCCTTAACCCCCACCATCTGCTCCCTAAACAGGTCACTCTTGAAAATGAGTTCTCGTGGCTCAATGAGACTCCCTGTATAAATAAAGGGTAAATGAAATGAGTCCTTGAGACTCTGTGAGACTAACCTGTAGAAGGTTGAATGACTAAAGATGGACATTTTCACTGAGAATAGAGCATCCTGTAAACTGATATGAACAGGCTTAGACTGGTTTATAATCGGGTTTGAACTGGTTTAGAGACTGGATAATCTGGTTTAGAAATTGGTTTGATCCGATTTAGACTGGTTTATAATCTGGTTTGAACTGGTTTAGAGACTGGATAATCTGGTTTAGAAACTGGTTTGACCTGGTTTAAACTGAGTAATAAAGCAGTATGGACTCACCTCCAGCTTTAAACAGTCCATTTCCAGTTTCCTTGAGAGTTAAGCTGCGCTGCTTTTGAATCTGAAACAAAGGATGTACAGCAGCACACCTGAACACCTGAACCTGAGCAGGAAGAAGAAGGAACAAACAGGAGGATTACCTGTTTCTCCTCTTCTGTCAGCTCTTTCTCCACCTCCCTCAGGTAGTCATCATCAAAGTCCATTCCTCTGAACACGTCCTCCTTTAGCTCTGAATCTGAATCCTCCTGCAGAGCAGCACCCTGCTCCTTCTCACCCTGAGCCACCTCCTTGTTCTTCTGTCCTTCTGTGTCACTCGCTTCTTTTCTGTCAATTTGTCTGTTTGTTGAAACATCACAGTCCTCTGAACCTGCATCTTCCTGCTGGGTCTCCAATCCACTGTCTCCCTCCTTCTGTTGTTCCTTCTCCTTTGTGATCTCAGGAGGCTTCAAAATGTCATGACAGTCATAGAAGTCCTCCTCGTCCCCCTCTTCCTGTCCTCCTGGGTCTTCTCCTCGGCTGCTCATTGTGATGCTCTGCAACACAAAGGAGGAACTTCATCACGTATTTATGTGAAGGTTTTCCCTTATAATACAGGTTCTAATATAGGTTTTCCCTAAGACACAATGGTACATGCTCTATTCAACCGCTGCTCAACTGCCTGGCTGACATCAGGGACTGGATGGCTTTAAATTTCTTAAGTTTCAATGAAAAGAAGTCTGAAGTCATGTTGTTCCCTCCCAACGACATGATCACAAACCACTGCATCGACCTTTCCGCTCTAACCCTGTCAGGAAAACAAAGAGTCACTAATCTGGGCGTGATAATGGACCCTTCCCTGAAACTTAACAATCATGTAAACATGATTGCTAAATCATGCTTCTTCCAACTGAGGCGGCTGTCTGAACTGAAGCCCATATTGTCCAAAAAGAACCTGGAGACAGTAATACATGCATTCATTACATCTAGGCTTGATTACTGCAATTCACTCCTGTTTGGTATCAGTCAGACCTCCATTGCACGACTACAACTGGTCCAGAATGCAGCAGCCCCATTTTTAACTTGTACAGGCAAAAGAGAGCACATTACACCAGTTTTGGCCTCACTGTACTGGTTACCAGTTCACTTTCGAATCCAGTTCAAAATACTCATGTATGTCTACAAATCACTGAACAGTTTCGTCCCTCCCCATCTCTCTGATTTGCTACAACCGTATGTCCCACCACGCTCCCTGAGGTCAGTGGACCAGTTGCTCCTCACAGTTCCAGGAACTCGTCTTAAGCGCAGAGGTGACAGGGCCTTCTCTGTAGCAGGACCAAGACTCTGGAACGAGTTACCTCTGCTTGTCAGACAGGCCCCCTCCCTCTCGGTTTTCAAGTCCCGTTTAAAAACTCACTACTATTCAGTAGCTTTCAACACCAGATGATCTGTGTTTTGATCCTGTATGCTCCACAATGGTTTGTCGTCATTTTCTGCATCGTTTTTTGTCTATATTCTGATTTACCTCATTTTGTATTTTTGCTTTGTGTGTTACCTGTTGTTTTGTCTGTACAGCACTTTGGTTGGCTTTGTTGCTGTTTTAAGTGCTTTATAAATAAAGTGGTATGGTATGGTAATGGCAGATTAATCTGATTTACAAACCGGATTCCAAAAAAGTTGGGACACTAAACAAATTGTGAATAAAAACTGAATGTAATGATGTGGAGGTGCCAACATCTAATATTTTATTCAGAATAGAACAAAAATCACAGATCAAAAGTTTAAACTGAGAGAATAAATCATTTTAAGGGAAAAATCTGTTGTTTCCAAATTTCATGGCATCAACAAATCCCAAAAAAGTTGGGACAAGTCCATTTTTACCACTGTGTGGCATCCCCCCTTCTTCTTCCAACACTCAACAGACGTCTGGGGTCAGAGGAGACCAGTTTCTCCAGTTTAGAAATAGGAATGCTCTCCCATTCATGTCTAATACAGGCCTCTAACTGTTCAATCGTCTTGGGCCTTCTTTGTTGCACCTTCCTCTTTATGATGTGCCAAATGTTCTCTATAGGTGAAAGATCTGGACTGCAGGCTGGCCATTTCAGTACCTGGATCCTTCTCCTACGTAGCCATGATGTTGTGATTGCTGCAGAATGTGGTCTGGCATTATGGTGTTGAAAAATGCAGGGTCTTCCCTGAAAGAGATGACGTCTAGATGGGAGCATATGTTGTTCTAGAACCTGAACATAGTTCCCTGCATTAATGGTGCCTTTCCAGACATGCAAGCTGCCCATGCCACAAGCGCTCATGCAACCCCATACCATCAGTGATGCAGGCTTCTGAACGGAGCGTTGATAAGAACTTGGGCTATCCTCGTCCTCTCTGGTCCGGATGACATGGCGTCCCAGTGTTCCATAAAGAACTTCAAATCGTGACTCATCTGACCACAGAACAGTCTTCCATTTTGCCACACTCCATTTTAAATGACCCCTGGCCCAGTGCAAACGTCTGAGCTTGTGGAACTTGCTTAGAAATAGCTTCCTCTTTGCACTGTAGAGTTTCAGCTGGCAACGGCGGATGGCACGGTGGATTGTGTTCACTGACAATACTTTCTAGAAGTATTCCTGAGCCCAATCTGTTATTTCCTTGACAGTGGCATTTCTGTTTGAGGTGCAGTGACGTTTAAGGGCCCGGAGATCACGAGCATCCAGTATAGTTTTATGGCCTTGACCCTTACGCACAGCGATTGTTCAAGATTCTCTGAATCTTTTGATGATGTTATGCACGGTTGATGATGATAACTTAAAAGTCTTTGCTATTTTACGCTGGATAACACCATTCTGGTATTGCTGCACTATCTTTCTGTGCAAAAATGGTGGAATTGGTGATCCTCTTACCATCTTGGCTTCTGAGAGACACTGACACTCTGAAAAGCTCTTTTTATACCCAATCATGTTGTCAATTGACCTAATTAGTGTTAATTGGTCTTCCAGCTGTTTGTTATTTGCTCAATTTCCTTTTTCCAGCCACTTATTGCTACTTGTCCCAACTTTTTGGGGATTTGTTGACACTGAAATTTTGAATCAACATATTTTTCCCTTAAAATGTTACATTTACTCAGATTAAATTTTTGATCTGTCATCTATGTCACATTACAAATAAAATATTGACATTTGCCATCTCCACATCATTGCATTCAGTTTTTATTCACAATTTGTTCAGTGTCCCAACTTTTTTGGAATCCGGTTTGTAAATCAGTTAACTCTGGTGCACATTTTAAAATCTCCTAAGAGCTGAGTTGTCGGGGGCTTTTCAGTGAGCGGGCTTGAGTTGGACATGTCGGACATGTTAGACATTCATTCAAGTTTATTTGAACAAGGAGCACATTAAACAATATTACGTGATAAAAACCAAGCAACCGTTGTTTTGTACAAAGGTTTTCTAGCCACAGGCTAATTTGCAAACCCAGTCCTTCGTTGGACTTTTATATAAAAACGGCTAAAATTAAATTAAAACTTAATTAAAATTAAACAGTTTCTTCACATGCCTGCTCCTCCATCCACATGGGGCTCAGTGTTCACAGATTTGGTTATGTTTCAACCATTTTTTCGCCTGGGAATTAAAAACTCTGAGATCTGTTCATGTTTTTATTGCTCATGGTGAACTTTTCCAGAGATGAGGGTCTTTAAATGAGAACAACGTTGACCAAACGATGGTTTGTATTGTGCAGGTTTGCAGTCTCCATCCACTGCACCTCTTGTTGCAACTCCTGAGCTGTGACTTGTAAAAATCATTCTGCTCACCAGCTCTGGGACAAAACCATTAATGCATTTAAAAGTCAATTTTAAACAAGAAATTTTTTTAAAAAAATTGTCACAGATTAAGAAATTATATTTCTCCAGTATTTTACACTTCAATGGTTTTTGGTCTAAAACGTTCAGAGCTTGTGAAAACATCATTGTCAGGTTTTAAAGCTGATTGAGTTGCTTGGCTCCAGACAGTGACATAGTTTGAGAAATGAGACAGAATCATGGCTGTAGGTACAACAGAGCACATTTTACACATAAACATGATCTTATAAGACAAAAACAATTTAGTTCTATTTCGTATAGGCTTCGCCCTTTAAGGCTGTCGCTTAGTGGGTTTATCCCGTTATGCGTAGCATTTGCACTGAAAAATTTAGTCCACGCCCACCTGCTGTGGGGGCCCCACCCGGTCCGTATAAATTACGTTAAGAGCGGGAAATCGGCTCCCATTTTTTCTTCAGTGAGCTAATAGCACTGTCAGAAGAACAAAGAAGGAAAATTGTATAGATGACCAACCTTTGTTAAGGATGCTTGGCCCGGCAGTCGACCTCCGGTCGTCCGGTGAGTTCTCCTCCCCGAGGAGAAGCTGACGAGCAGTCTTATTTCAAGGTAAGCGCCGAGGAGTATTTCTCAGTGACAGGTCACTTCACGCTGGACAACACCATCTTGTAATTTTCCTCTTATCACCGACCCTCGGAGTGAATCGGATGGTTCCTCCGGGACAGGCGGCGCTCAGCTGCAGCCCCCCGCTGCTCATTCCCTCCTGGAGAGCGTAGTGTCGGTGGAGGGGGGCTGAGTGAATGCTCACCCCATCCCACCTCGTTTCGCATCGGTGATCACACCGCTCCCGGCTAACGGCGCCCTCAGGGGTTGCCCGGCGTAACCCAGGAAGCAGCTGACATGAAGGGACCCTTTTTTTACGTCCTACGCCTTTCCAGCCAGTTCGGATGATCCGGCGGGAAAGTTGTTTACTGGGTTCCATTCCGGCTCACTGTCTTGATCCATATGGCCTCGTGTTCCCAACAGGACGTCTTACGGGCGAGGCCACAGACGGGTTTTTTCCTGGTAGATTGGGGGAGCCGGTCTCCACAGTCCGCACCCATCTCCAGAGCAGGGGTTCACTGAGCGAAAAGTCCCTCCGTGCCCCCTGGAGCCAAGCCTGATGGAGGCTTTATTGGAGCAAGATGTCGAGGTGGACCAGCGTCCCGTGCCTCTGGTTAGCGTAACCGAGACGGTGACACCGCTCTCCAACTGAGCTCACCAGCATGTGTTTCACATGGCCGCAGCGAACAACACGTTACGCTGTTGGCGTACACGTTCAGAGGCGGGAAGAGACGGTGGCCCTCTGTCCTTCGGCTCACTCCGCTCTCGTAGCGGCTGCTTGCTAACGACGCTGCCGGCCCCTGCAGTACGCTCCGTCTACAGGGCAGCTGACGTCATCCTAAACCGGTGCGCCTCTTTTGCTGTCTGCTGCCCCGCATCGCAGCCGGAGAACAAGGTCCCAGAGGTTCTCTTGGCTCGTCACTCCACCTTCCTCTCAGGAGAGCTGCAGGAGTTTGTTGGAGGTCCTCTTTTCATCAGCGAGAGATCATTTCAAGATGCTCCACGGCTGCACAACGCCTCCCCAGCTCTGCTACGCCAGCCCCTCCCGTCAGACGTCCCCGGCATACGGAAGTTCTTTTTTTTTTCCCGGACTTTGCCAACAGGGGGCCCTCCAGGACAACAAACAGAGCTCAACGGAAGGTAACCAG